AACACGTAGCAATTTGATCGTAAGACACATATATCTATAGCTACATCGTCACTTCAAAGACACATATACCTATAGCAACACGTAGCAATTTGATGTCAAGACACATCAAGACACATATATCCACTTCAAGACACAGGTATCTATAGCAACACGTAGCATTTTGATGTCACTTCAAGACACATATACCTATAGCAACACGTAGCAATTTGATGTCACTTCAAGACACATATACCTATAGCAACACGTAGCAATTTGATGTCACTTCAAGACACAAATACCTATAGCAACACGTAGCAATTTGATGTCACTTCAAGACACAAATACCTATAGCAACACGTAGCAATTTGATGCCACTTCAAGACACAAATACCTATAGCAACACGTAGCAATTTGATCTCACTTCAAGACACAGGTATCTATAGCAACACGTAGCATTTTGATGTCACTTCAAGACACATATACCTATAGCAACACGTAGCAATTTAACGTCACTTCAAGACACATATACCTATAGCAACACGTAGCAATTTGACGTCACTTCAAGACAGATATACCTATAGCAACACGTAGCAATTTGATCCTCACTTCAAGACACAGGTAGGTATATACCTATAGCAACACGTAGCAATTTGATGTCACTTCAAGACACATATACCTATAGCAACACGTAGCAATTTAACGTCACTTCAAGACACATATACCTATAGCAACACGTAGCAATTTGATGTCACATCAAGACACATATACCTATAGCAACACGTAGCAATTTGATGTCACTTCAAGACAGATATACCTATAGCAACACGTAGCAATTCGATGTCACTTCGAGACACAAATACCTATAGCAACACGTAGCAATTCGATGTCACTTCAAGACACAAATACCTATAGCAACACGTAGCAATTTGATGTCACTTCCAGACACATATACCTATTACAACACGTAGCATTTTGATGTCACTTCAAGACACATATACCTATAGCAACATGTAGCATTTTGATATCACTTCAAGGCACATATACATGTACCTATAGTAACGCGTAGCAATTTGATGTCACTTCAAGACGCATATACCTATTACAACACGTAGAAATTTGATGTCACTTCAAGACACTGTCGTAATCGACGTCCCCGTGAAGATTCGCATTTACATTCAGTAACACGTTGTCGCTATCTGAAGCAAAATGACGTTCTCGGGACGAAAATAGAAAGTTGCGCGCCTGCGTGCGCCTGCGTGTGCGCGTGTATGTGTACACGCCTTGTAAGGGACACCCTGGACAACGAGCTACATGTGATAAGCATGGAATACATTTCAAACGTATATATAGGTCAATGCTGTTTTCACCTGAATACGGTGTCTGTATATGAGGCTATTGAATGCATGTACAGGATGAGCTTCAAAACACTGGTTATTCAGATCTGCACAAAGTGCATAAACATTCACTGTGCTGGTGGTGTAATAACGGCCCGTGCCGGGCGAGGCTCTCTTGGAGTCGGTAGATATAGTCACGTCGGACAAAGCTACAGTCAGGCAGGCAGTGTTATGGCTGCTATATATAGAAGTGTTACAACTAGTACATACAATGAATACATGGAACTTTGATCAATGGATATTAAGTTCTGAACTGTTTGTAATGACGTCTCGGGGATCTGCTTCGCCCCTTTCTGAAGACGCAGATGTAAAACGTCGTTACAGTGAGTGAGTGAGTTTAGTTTTACGCCACACTCAGCAATATTCCAGTTATATGGCGGCGGTCTGTAAATAATCGAGTCTGGACCAGACAATCCAGTGATCAACAGCATGAGCATCGATCTACGCAATTGGGAACCAATGACATGTCGTCAACCAAGTCAGCGAGCCTGACCACCCGATCCCGTTAGTCGCCTCTTACGACAAGCATGGGTTACTGAAGATCATTTCTAACCCGGGCCTTCGCGGGTGTGGTGTGTTACAGCTGTTGTATATCCAACTGGATCTTAATGCTGATATCTGACAGCTGTGTTTCGGCAGTTTGGTGTGATGCTCGCCGCAATTATTACTGTATCACACTGTGATTCGTATGTTGTATGTCAGGAACTATACCACACAACAGTATTATAAACTGTGATCGTAGCACTGATCCATGGTGTTTGTACCTGCTGTCATGACTATCGGATGTCTCCAGTGAGTCATGTTGTTACGCTAAGGGTGAACGCTAAGAGAGTGGCACTGGCGGGGGTACAAATCAAGAAACATCAATATCTGTTTATAAACGTCAGCACTCTCTCAGCTGTCGCTACCCGACTAATCCCTTGTCAAGACGGCCCCTGGTCGTCAGTGAGACAGTGTAGACAGTGTAGCTATCACCCCAGCGTCCTACCTGGCACCCAATGAAGGCACCACTCATTGTCCACTGTGGTTGGGGTTACTTAATACCGTATATCATTGTATAGACGCTGTGATATCTATATATTTCAGACACATTCTACACTCGTAATATATGATTTGACGGTAAATATTTTTAGTTGATTCGGGGTCCAATCGAGGGAGATGTTTATGATACATCAAACCCGGCGTGTATTACAAGCTGACGTGTAGGGGAGGAAGGCTTGTTTTCAAGGATCTACGGTACTACTTCTGCGCCTTGCACTGACCGTCTGTGTAGATGCAATCTCTTCCAGGCCACTCTATGGTAGTGTAGATACTATCGGTGGGAAACTTCAATGTTCCCTTGTGTTGTCGAGCGGTGCAGTTGTAAGGTTTTCACTGCCGACATTAAGAAGCCGTGAACCGTCACACTGCCGACACCAGATGGTAAACACCTCCTTTACGAGGTATTGTACGTTTCGTAGTCTCTGTGGTACTGTACAGTCTGCAGGTATTCCTGTGTATCAATGTTTGGACGTGACAATTCCATTAAATGGCATCTTCATGCAGAATTCTACCAGTAATATATATTCAGTAGGCGGTTGCTAGGGGTCCTACGCTAAAACGGTAGAAATCCTACGTTGAGTGGGTGACAGTTGTAGTATGTAAAAGAAGGGGAGGGTGGGGCGGACTAGGGCAGTAGAGTGGTAGAATAGGGCAGTGTAGGTCGCCGTATGGCGCGTAGTCGTAGTGGAATGGTGCGAGGACGTCGGTTTTGTGTGTGTGTGTTTTAGTGGGTAGTGCGTGTGTGTGTGTGTGTGTGTGTAGTGGGTAGTGCGTGTGTGTCCTACGTTACAACATATGGGGCGGTTTCCTGCTTTGTTAAATAAATCCGCCGTCGTATAGGGCGTAGTCCTATGTTGTATGGGGCTGGGTCCTATATTGTTTGGACGTAGGCATTAGTTGTATGGGGAGTACTCGTCGGTTGTATGGGGCGTAGACCTACGTTGCCAGTTTGTCGGCAGTTGAAGGGACGCCCATCCAAACACAAATACCTGTTGTCATTGATTTTCAAGTGAAGGGAAGGCCAACTTGCAGTCAGGTACAATACCACACTTACCGCCAGGTCACTGACCATCCAGTCCACGCTCTGGGATCTTTTTTCGTCCGCAATCGACACAGGAGTCTCAACGTAAAATACCAATCCTTAATAATACAGTATATGTACGTCACCAATCACGGTGTAACCGCTTTTTGTTGCCACAAATATATGCTTTGTGCCCTAGTAGGCATACACAGTCTCAGTTACTAGTAACTCACGTACGTGTTCTGTGTTCCAGATAATGGCGGTTGACATGAGCATGACGGAGCGCCTAATGCGCCAGAAGAACGTCACCCTCCAGAGGCAGCTGGAGGTGACGCTGCGGATCCTGGACAAGGAGGACCGAACCTCTCAGCAGCAGCACGTCAAGTTGTTCCAGGAGTACACACACTTCCTGCGAGATCTGACAGTCAGATGCACCGGGCTTGACACCTACTCCCAGCCCGACACGCGCGCCATGAGGAAGAACGCAGCATTGAAGGAAAGACGTCTTTCTGTTATTCCAATGGAGGCCCGGACGCCAGACCAGAACCCTAAACCAGCAATAGAACGAATACCACGGCCGTCAACTGTTGCAGCTCCTGTGACAGTCAAGAGAGCTAGTTCTGAACGACGACATGTGGGCCCTGAGAAACAGGAGCAGAGGTTCACCACATGTCTGGAAGTTCTAGATGACATAATCCAAAACCATTATTTGAGAAAAAGGCCAAATAGACAGCGAAAGATTGGGCTTGTAATGCCTGCCCGTGTGGCAGGGGACAGCAAGCCTGTGTCTAGCAGCACCAGACTCGAGGGTCACATAGCTGGGGGCAGATACAGCCCTATGCATATCCGCCCAGCCAGCAGCTACACCATGACTAGTAAGGGGAGGGGCCACACTGACATTAAGACACGCCCACACACTGCGCAGCCTCAGCGGTCAGCTCTTAGACTGGCCTCCAAAAATGCCTCTACTCCCAGCATTGAAGAGGCCTGGCGGTCAAACCCGGGCAGCGTGAGACCTCGGAGACCCAAGTCGGCCCCGTCTAGGTATGAGGCGTCCGGGCGGTCACCAGCCGTCCCGCGTCAACAGGTGGCCGGGATTATCGCGGAGATGAACAGCAGGAGCGCCGCTACCAGGGCCATGGTGGGTCGCAGCAAGAAGCTCAACAACTACATCGCCAGTCTGGCCTGGCCAGGTGCATAACAATACCCAGGCTGACATGATCTGGATCAGACTTACAGCGCTGTCATAAATCGTTGTTCTGTTGTTCACAGTCTTCAAATAACAGGTGCTCTTCAGATTTTGTAAGAACCAACAGGTGTGAGATGGCAGAGGATCCAAAGTTCCCAGCAGACTTAGAGTCAGCTTGAGCTTCATAGCGACTGCTCAGTTCATACAACGCATCTGTGACGTCAAACGTCCCTAGGAGAGATATCTCCGGTATCTCCTAATAGTCTCATTTGTTTGTTCTACCCTTTTACATTGTGATTCTTTGGCTGATTGTACCTGTTGGCGTCAGAGACAGCCACGACTGCCACTTTACTACATCCCATTCAGAAGTCACAGCTGTGTTCTGATGCTTTATTCACATGCACAGATTACATAAACCAGACATTGTTCTATTTCCAGTGTTTCTTCAGTTGTCATCAAATGTCCAGTGCCCCAAGTACGACCTGAAACTGACTTCAGCTTAGTTGAAGATGTCACCTTTTCAGTTGGTAAATTACGCTTTTATATAGGGTCTAAGGCCTTAACTACAATAAATTTATAACACTTGTGTGTTTTCAAAAATCAGACCTACTGATTCCCTGCATCGTGTGCAGTTGTCATTCTTAGTTCATCCCATCAGCATCGTGGACACACCAGTATCAGGCCACAACATCCACCTGGACTTGATAGTATGTTGACACTATGTCCACCCTGGACTTGCCAGTACTTAGCCAGGAGATCCACCCTGGACTTGCCAGTACTTAGCCAGGAGATCCACCCTGGACTTGCCAGTACTTAGCCAGGAGATCCACCCTGGACTTGCCAGTACTTAGCCAGGAGATCCACCCTGGACTTGCCAGTACAGTCAGGCCTCGTTAATACGAACACTTTGGTTTCTTTAAAAAAACGTTCGGATAGTGAAACGTTCGTACTGCTGAAACCACAGTATATGCACCGAGTTACTTCCCCTTGATATCAAAGAAATCAAAACAAAACATGAAAGACAATCACTGGATTTATTACACATTGTTTCACTCACACATTTTACTTACAAAAGTAGTCTTTAATGGTGGGCTGCGTCAAAGGTTGTTTTAAAGAATTGAGCATGTCCATTGCTTTATCTGCATTTTCGATGTCACCCTGGCACTCGTAGTACGTAACGATGTTACCGAGGTACAGTCTCATGTCTGTTAAAGACGGAAGGGTGACCATGTCTTCTGCTTCTTCTTCTTCACTTTCAATCTGATCATCTGCAGCTGTCACCATCTCTATGATGTTCTCTGAAGTCAGCGAATCACAATTCTTCTCTACCTTTAACTACTGCATTCTTATCAGCACTGGCAGCTACCCCCTGATAATTTTGTTTCTTAATTTGATGACGAGATTTGAAGCGGTAAAGCCAACCGCGAGAATAACCAAAATCATTGATTCCTAATTTTGAGCCCAATTCCATGCCTTTCTCAGTTAACATTTGGTCATTTACTGAAGCATTTTTTGTGTTCATTTCTGTCATCCAAACATAAAGTGCTTCCTCTAATTTGGCATGTTTAGCATTTCGTTCTCTTGTGAGAGATAGAGAATCTTCCGAAATATTTAGCCACTTATCCTTACTTTTCCATATGTCCGAAACAGTAGTTTTGTCGACAGAATGACCGAATTCTTCGCCAAAATGTTTACTTAAAAAATCGAAACTGGCTTTAGGATTTCTTTCTATGTATAGGCAAATTACCCTCTTTTGAGACGCAGTAATTTCGAAGCGCTTACGCTTAGCAGGTTGGCAAGCCATAGTGAAAATGCATTGATTTGTGAAATGTTTACCCGTACATATTTATAGCGGAAGATTTTTACAACACACATTGACACTTCTCACTCAATATATTTGGAGTAAAAGTTGTTAAACTGTTAACTGGACTGGTTAGACTTTGTGATAAAGGGATCAAAGGGATGAGTCGCTAAGTCGCTAAACAAACCACGTGTCACTTTGGGTGGGCCAGTCGGCAGCGCGGTCAACTTCAATCGTTCGGATTAACGCAGCTGTTTACAACTTAATTAGTCCAATCCGTTCCGACTGACCAGCGTTCGGAGGCGGAAACTGAATCGTTGGACTGACGAGGTGTCAATTGTATTCAATATATAGGGAGATGATTTGGTGCCCAGTGAGTAGCATTCGGAAGTCGGTGGATTCGGATTAACGAGGACCGGATTACCGCGGCCTGACTGTACTTAGCCAGGAGATCCACCCTGGACTTGCCAGTACTTAGCCAGGAGACCCACTCTGGAGTAATCTCTGTCCTGATCGGTTGTCATCTGAAATATATATGGCAAAACCAGAAGTGACAATATGACATGATCACACTACTGGCGACATGAGGTAATGCAGCATCACTATGATGGAGCAGGCTGAGGGAAGATGGCTGCCATCATAGGGAACTCTTCACTTGGCTGTTTCTTCTTTGATCCTGACCTTGACCTTGACCCAAATGTAAATGCAGGAAGTTGAGTGCTTTGTGCCAGGCATCCTGTTGAGCATGTGCATGGGGCCTAGGAGACCCTCCCCACACAAGGTTCATTCCTGAAACCAGCAGCATGAGAGCTAGAGCCTATACCAGATAGTCACACAAGTTGTCCAGCACAGCTTTTGTTTCTTTGGGTCTTAACGCTACAATCAGCAATATTCACCTCTCTAAAAATATTCTTTAAAAAGCAATTTGAAATTATCTGTAAATAACCAATTTTGGACCAGACAATCCAGTGGTTGATAGCAAGAGTAACACACCCACACCAACAATTTACTGTGCATGAAAACATGCTATTAAGTTGGCTCTGAAAACACACATGACCAGCTAGAGATCAGTGCTAATGTTGAAGCTGAGTCGAGAACTCGTGAAAACAGAATACTGATAGACTTTAGTGACCTACAATACAGGTATTACATGACAAGTGTTGCACATTTTTTATACAAGGGTGGATTACAATACAGGTGTTGTACAGTATCTATATCAGGGTGGATTACAATACAGGTGTTGTACAGTATCTATATCAGGGTGGATTACAATACAGGTGTTGTACAGTATCTATATCAGGGTGGATTACAATACAGGTGTTGTACAGTATCTATATCAGGGTGGATTACAATACAGGTGTTGTACAGTATCTATATCAGGGTGGATTACAATACAGGTGTTGTACAGTATCTATATCAGGGTGGATATAAACCTATGGGCACTGACCACCAATACCCAAACGGTACCACTGGCAACCAACACATCTAGGTAGTTACCTGCAACTTTGTGGAAGGAGGAGTAGCAGTGTGGTGTGTAGGGTGGCTCTATCAGGTGGCCTGCATCAGGGTAGAACTCCATCTCTACTTTCTTCCTCTTCTCAACTGGAAGTGAATTCACCATCATCTTGGCTCCCTGGACATTCCAACACTGATCTTCTTCTCCATAGAGCAGCAGGAAGTGGGCTTCACTCTGCCAGAACTGAAACACAGACCATACATTCACATACAACATGAGGCCCACAAGGCTTCACTCTGCCAGAACTGTTACACAGACCATGTTTCTCACTTACAGGAATAGTGACACGTTCCCAGCCGCTGTAGGCATCTCGAGTGATCATGCCAGCATCTGTAACCACCAGTCCACCCACATCTATCCTGTAATGAAACACACAAACTCTGACATCATCCCTGTCATAGCACACTATCCTTCTCTTGCCTCAGTTTCAGTTAGGACACACATAGCCCAGTTGTGTGAATGTGTTGGTCAGGACACACATAGCCCCATTGTGTGAATGTGTCAGTAAGGACACACATAGCACAGTTGTGTGAAGGTGTTGGTCAGGACACACATAGCCCAGTTAAGTGAATGTGTCAGTTAGGACACACATAGCCCAGTTGTGTGAATGTGTCTGTTAGGACACACATAGCCCAGTTGTGTGAATGTGTCAGTCAGGACACACATAGTCCAGTTGTGTGAATGTGTCAGTAAGGACACACATAGCCCAGTTGTGTGAATGTGTCAGTTAGGACACACATAGTCCAGTTGTGTGAATGTGTCAGTAAGGACACACATAGCCAGTTGTGTGAATGTGTCAGTTAGGACACACATAGCCCAGTTGTGTGAATGTGTCAGTTAGGACACAGGTGTCCAGTTGTGTGAATGTGTCAGTTAGGACACAGGTGCCCAGTTGTGTGAATGTGTCAGTTAGGACACACATAGCCAGTTGTGTGAATGTGTCAGTTAGGATACACATAGCCCAGTTTTGTGAATGTGTCAGTAAGGACACACATAGCCCAGTTGTGTGAATGTATCAGTTAGGACACACATAGCCCAGTTGTGTGAATGTGTCAGTTAGGACACACATGTCCAGTTGTGTGAATGTGTCAGTAAGGACACAGGTGCCCAGTTAGTTGTGTGAATGTGTCAGTTAGGACACACATAGCCCAGTTGTGTGAATGTGTCAGTTAGGACACACATAGCCCAGTTGTGTGAATGTGTCAGTCAGGACACATAGCCCAGTTGTGTGAATGTGTCAGTTAGGACACACATAGCCCAGTTGTGTGAATGTGTCAGTTAGGACACACATAGCCCAGTTGTGTGAATGTGTCAGTTAGGACACACATAGCCCAGTTGTGTGAATGTGTCAGTTAGGACACACATAGCCCAGTTGTGTGAATGTGTCAGTTAGGACACACATAGCTGAGTTGTGTGAATGTGTCAGTCAGGACACATGTGGCCCAGGTGTGTGAATGTGTTGGTTGGGCCAAGTGTCCAACATAACAAGTTGGAATATAGGGACAATTACAGGACATTACCTCAACCAATAGATACAACATAACAATACAACCCATGCATGAGAAGCTACGGAGGATACAACAGACATCCTTTTTACACAAACTAGACAGTAGACACACAACTATTAAAACATACGACGTAAATATAAAGAACAAACACGAGACACACACATTACACACTACAGAGACATGCACACAACAATCACACATGACACATTGATCAGATCAGTTCTCCATATCTTACTCTACACCCTTGATGTCCTCGGCACCGATTCTCTTCAGGTCAGTAAATGTGAAGGCCAGGGAGCCGCTGATGTTGACAACCGCTGTCACCTGCGCAGGAGGAATAGACGTTTGTTAATTTGTTGTTTGATACCACACAGCAATATTACAGGTAAATGACAGCAATATTACAGGTAAATGACAGCAATATTACAGGTAAATGGCAATATTACAGGTAAATGACAGCAATATTACAGGTAAATGACAGCAATATTACAGGTAAATGACAGCAATATTACAGGTAAATGACAGCAATATTACAGGTAAATGGCAGCAATATTACAGGTAAATGGCAGCAATATTACAGGTAAATGACAGCAATATTACAGGTAAATGGCAATATTACAGGTAAATGACAGCAATATTACAGGTAAATGACAGCAATATTACAGGTAAATGACAGCAATTACAGGTAAATTACAGCAATATTACAGGTAAATGACAGCAATATTACAGGTAAATGACAGCAATATTACAGGTAAATGACAGCAATATTACAGGTAAATGACAGCAATATTACAGGTAAATGACAGCAATATTACAGGTAAATGGCAATATTACAGGTAAATGGCAATATTACAGGTAAATGACAGCAATATTACAGGTAAATGACAGCAATATTACAGGTAAATGGCAGCAATATTACATGTAAATGACAGCAATATTACAGGTAAATGACAGCAATATTACAGGTAAATGACAGCAGACTGTCTGGACCAGACAAATCAGACATTATTAGAACCAGCTGAAGCAAAGGTGATACAAAGACCCAATCAAGTTACCTGCCCACCTGCACCCGTGAGTCACCTCGTACACCTAGCACTGGGGCCACATCCCAGAACTCCAGTGTTTTTGTTAAGTGAGCATACTTTTATGTTTTGGACTGAGTGAGTATAGTTTTGCATTACTTTTAACTTTCCAGTCATATCACAGCAAGGGACACCGGAATTTGACCCTACATGTCATCACCATGCATGGAATCGGTACTGTGATGATGGATGCATGATGGATGCTTTAGTCACAAGGCAACAGTACCCAACCACCTTAATGTTTTACAACATGGTCCGCAGGGGTTTTTCAGCCATATATAAAAATCATCACATTAAAACATTAACTGTTCTGGAAATAATATTTTCTAGACATATCACTAGATGATGCAAATCTATAAGATGGAATCAAACTAACAATACGATGCTTGAGCTTCAATCATCCCACCATCACCAACCTTTGGAGAAAATGTCGCCATAAGCATGGCCAGTTCCGCACCCTTCGAGACCCCAATGACGCCGATGCCATTCAGACAGATGGCAGAATGATTCTGCAGCCAGTCCACTGCATCAAGGAAGTAATCTAGGTCAAGGTCATTCAGATCCTTAGTAAGGTCATCATATCCCAAGTAGCCAAGAGCTAAAGCAGCAAACCCATGTGAAGCTAAAAGTGCAGCTCTTGTCTCAATTAAACCTCCTGTTGACCCGAACATATCAATCACACCTGGAAAAGGACCATCACCTGTGGACAAGTAGATACACAAATCATTACAAGTCAAACATAACACATCCAGACCTTGTCAAACATAACACATCCAGGCCTTGTCAAACATAAGACATTCAGTCCTTGTCACACATAACACATCCAGACCTTGTCAAACATAACACATCCAGACCTTGTCACACATGACACATCAAGACCTTGTCACACATAACACATCCAGACCTTGTCAAATATGACAAATCAAGACCTTGTCAAACAAGACACATCAAGACCTTGTCACACATAACACATCCAGTCCTTGACAAACATGACACATAAAGACCTTGTCAAATATGACACATCCAGACCTTGTCAAACATAACACATCCAGACCTTGTCAAACATGACACATCCAGACCTTGTCAAACATAGCATATCCAGTCCTTGTCAAACATGACACATCCAGATCTTGTCAAACAAGACACATCTGGTCCTTAACACTTGCTACCTGTAACACCGGGCTACTTGTAACACCTGGACAGACCTTTTCAAACATAACACATCAAGACCTTGTCAAACATGACACATCCAGACCTTGTCACACATGGCACATAAAGACCTTGTCAAACATAAAACATCAAGACCTTGTTAAACATAACACATCCGGACCTTGTCAAACATGACACATCCAGACCTTGTCACACATGACACATAAAAACCTTGTCACACATGACACATAAAGACCTTGTCAAACATAAAACATCAAGACCTTGTCACACATGACACATAAAGACCTTGTTAAACATGACACATCCAGACCTTGTCACACATAACACATCCAGACCTTGTCACACATGACACATAAAGGCCTTGTCAAACATGACACATCCAGACCTTGTCAACCATAAGATATCAAGACCTTGTCAAACATAACACATCCAGACCTTGTCACACATGACACATCAAGACCTTGTCACACATGACACATAAAGACCTTGTCAAACATGACACATCCAGACCTTGTCACACATGACACACAAAAACCTTGTCAAACATGACACATCCAGACCTTGTCAAACATAGCATATCCAGTCCTTGTCAAACATGACACATCCAGATCTTGTCAAACAAGACACATCTGGTCCTTAACACTTGCTACCTGTAACACCGGGCTACTTGTAACACCTGGACAGACCTTTTCAAACATAACACATCAAGACCTTGTCAAACATGACACATCCAGACCTTGTCACACATGGCACATAAAGACCTTGTCAAACATAAAACATCAAGACCTTGTTAAACATAACACATCCGGACCTTGTCAAACATGACACATCCAGACCTTGTCACACATGACACATAAAAACCTTGTCACACATGACACATAAAGACCTTGTCAAACATAAAACATCAAGACCTTGTCACACATGACACATAAAGACCTTGTTAAACATGACACATCCAGACCTTGTCACACATAACACATCCAGACCTTGTCACACATGACACATAAAGGCCTTGTCAAACATGACACATCCAGACCTTGTCAACCATAAGATATCAAGACCTTGTCAAACATAACACATCCAGACCTTGTCACACATGACACATCAAGACCTTGTCACACATGACACATCCAGACCTTGTCAAACATGACACATCCAGACCTTGTCACACATGACACATAAAAACCTTGTCACACATGACACATAAAGACCTTGTCAAACATGACACATCAAGACCTTCTCACACATGACACATAAAGACCTTGTTAAACATGACACATCCAGACCTTGTCACACATAACACATCCAGACCTTGTCACACATGACACATAAAGGCCTTGTCAAACATGACACATCCAGACCTTGTCAACCATAAGATATCAAGACCTTGTCAAACATAACACATCCGGACCTTGTCACACATGACACATCCAGACCTTGTCACACATAACACATCCAGACCTTGTCAAACATGACACATCAAGACCTTGTCACACATGACACATCCAGACCTTGTCACACATGACACATAAAGACCTTGTCAAACATGACACATGAAGAACTTGTCCAACATAACACATCCAGACCTTGTCACACATGACACATCCAGACCTTGTCACACATGACACATAAAGACCTTGTCAAACATGACACATCAAGACCTTGTCACACATGACACATAAAAACCTTGTCACACATGACACAAAAAGACCTTGTCAAACATGACACATCCAGACCTTGTCACACATGACACATAAAGACCTTGTTAAACATGACACATCCAGACCTTGTCACACATAACACATCCAGACCTTGTCACACATGACACATAAAGGCCTTGTCAAACATGACACATCCAGACCTTGTCAACCATAAGATATCAAGACCTTGTCAAACATAACACATCCGGACCTTGTCAAACATGACACATCCAGACCTTGTCACACATGACACATAAAGACCTTGTCAAACATGACACATCCAGACCTTGTCAAACATAACACATCCAGACCTTGTCAAACATGACACATCAAGACCTTGTCACACATGACACATCAAGACCTTGTCACACATGACACATAAAGACCTTGTCAAACATGACACATCAAGAACTTGTCCAACATAACACATCCAGACCTTGTCACACATGACACATCAAGACCTTGTCACACATGACACATTCAGACCTTGTCAAACATGACACATCAGACCTTGTCCAACATAACACATCCAGACCTTGTCACACATGACACATTCAGACCTTGTCAAACATGACACATCCAGACCTTGTCACACATGACACATCCAGACCTTGTCAAACATGACACATAAAGACCTTGTCAAACATGACACATCCAGACCTTGTCAAACATAACACATCCAGACCTTGTCAAACATGACACATCAAGACCTTGTCCAACATAACACATCCAGACCTTGTCAAACATGACACATAAAGACCTTGTCAAACATGACACATCAAAACCTTGTCACACATAACACATCCAGTCCTTGCCAAACATGACACATCCAGATCTTGTCAAACAAGACACATCTGGTCCTTAACACTTGCTTCCTGTAACACCTGGCAACTTGTAACACCTGCCAACCTGTAACACCTGGCTACTTGCAACACCTGACTACCTATGAGACCAACCAACATCTATCACCTGCCAACATACACATATACCTACCTATAACACCTGCCCACACATAACACCTGCCTACCTGCTGGCAAGAACAATGTGCCCCTCAGTCTTCCCTCTCGGACAGTGATACTCCTGACACCCTTGGCCTTGTACCAGCGCTCTGCCGTAACTGTCACAATGGTCTCTTTTACATCACACTGGTTTAAATCTAGGTGGCCTTCAAGCAGTGAGAACCGCACTGAAAATGGTTCTGTGACATCCCTCTTGCTGAGACGAGCCATCTTTGACTCCCCCGGTGCCGGTATCATGCTCCACAGAAGCCCCATGCCATCGACGCCTGCCACAAACACAGCAGACACATGAACAACAGCAACCACACTGTAGGACACATGTGTGTAGTGTTTGACACAAGTGTAGAGTATGACACAGGTGTAGCGTAGGACATAGGTGTAGTGTAGGGCACAGGTGAAGTGTAGGGCACAAGTGTAGAGTATGACACAGGTGTAGCGTAGGACACAGGTGTAGTGTAGGGCACAGGTGAAGTGTAGGGCACAGGTGTGTAGTGCAGGACACAGGTAAAGTGTAGGGCACAGGTGTGTAGTGTAGGGCACAGGTGTAGTGTAGGACACAGGTGAAGTGTAGGGCACAGGTGTGTAGTGTAGGAACACAGGTGTAGTGTAGGACACAGGTGTAGTGTAGGATACAGGTGTGTAGTGTAGGACACAGGTGTAGTGTAGGATACACACAGGTGTAGTGTAGGATACAGGTGTAGTGTAGTATACAGGTGTGTAGTGTAGGACACAGGTGTAGTGTAGGATACAGGTGTAGTGTAGGACACAGGTGTAGTGTAGGATACAGGTGTAGTGTAGGACACAGGTGAAGTGTAGGACACAGGTGTGTAGTGTAGGGCACAGGTGAAGTGTAGGGCACAGGTGTGTAGTGCAGGACACAGGTAAAGTGTAGGGTGTGCCCTGGCACAGGTGTGTAATGTAGGGCACAGGTGTAGTGTAGGGCACAGGTGTAGTGTAGGACACAGGTGTAGTGTAGGATACAGATGTGTAGTGTAGGACACAGGTGTAGTGTAGGACACAGGTGTAGTGTAGGATACAGATGTGTAGTGTAGGACACAGGTGTAGTGCAGGACACAGGTGTGTAGTGTAGGACACAGGTGTGTAGTGTAGGACACAGGTGAAGTGTAGGACACAGGTTTGTAGTGTAGGACACAGGTGTGTAGTGTAGGACACAGGTGTAGTGTAGGACACAGGTGTGTAGTGTAGGACACAGGTGTGTAGTGTAGGACACAGGTGTATGTGTAGGACACAGGTGTGTAGTGTAGGACACAGGTGAAGTGTAGGACACAGGTGTGTAGTGTAGGACACAGGTGTGTAGTGTAGGACACAGGTGTAGTGTAGGACACAGGTGAAGTGTAGGACACAGGTGTAGTGTAGGACACAGGTGTAATGTAGGACACAGGTGTGTAGTGTAGGACACAGGTGTGTAGTGTAGGACACAGGTGTGTAGTGTAGGACACAGGTGCAATGTAGGACACAGTTGTGTGTAGTGTAGGACACAGGTGTAGTGTAGGACACAGTTGTTATTTAGGGTAGGGAGGGGGTGGGTTGAGTTGCACAGGGGCGTCATTGTGAAGGACTATATATATTGTTTTACAGGTTGTACAAGGTACCTGTGTATGTTCCTCCACAAGAGGCTTGAGTTGTGACATTGATGCAGCCATGTTCATCACCCGTGAAGTGACCACAGGCAGCAAACACAGTCTTCTCTGTCAGTGACGCGTGGAGGGTCACTCTCTGGGACGGTCTCAGCCCACTCACTGTCACACAAACCTTCTCATCCACCAGGGCAATCTGGGGAGAGACAGTCAGTTTGGGCACAACTGTGGCCAGAGTCCTCATGCTCCTCCACACTCCACAACACAGCTTGCATCGGCTAGCCACAAACACTGAAACAAACAGATTTGTTGTGAGGATCATAACAACTCAAAGCGGCCTCCCTCACAGGACTAAACACAGGCGATGGCCTTGGAGTACACAGTTGAAGATGTCAGTCGTCAGAGCAGTCAGTGAGTGTTGTCCTGGCCTGGGTAGGGTATAACTGTTATCATACCAAGATTCATTGACCTACTTAACATTTCAAATATTTCAAAACTTTCTCCATTACTGATTATGGAAAAATTTCCTTATGTCATTCAGATTCTTGGTTAAGAATGAGTGTATCTCATGCTTGTTGTAGGGAGCCCGTTTCCCGTGATTTGGTCCCCAACAATTATCCCATGAAGAGACAGAATATAGAGTAAATACATTTGATTAGCTGATGGTGAAAAGGAAAACACGTGTCAGTATATTCTTACTGAACAACCGTGCAATGCTATTTTCCTCACCGCCAGTTGAAGTGTCGTATAATCCAACAAACCGGACCACTAGTCGCGTCAGGTGACTTCGTGGGTGTTCCACTCAACCACCTACACAAGCTGCAGTCGATGATCAAGGACGAGCCACGTCGTCTGAATATTCCAACAACAAAAAATGAAACACTTGATAGCTAAGTCACGCTTATCTGAAACTTGCTGTTGCGTCATATGTACACAAAAAGACTAGTAAACTCACTTGCAACCTGAGGCACTCCCGCATCCTGGGAGAGAGAGAGAATCGGTGAAGGGAGACTACTCTGTTTTGACGCTTACAGTAGCACAACAGTCGGGGACACTCCACAGGTCATCCGTGATCAGTGATTTCTTGTGTTCCATGAATGTCACAACAGGCCCAATTTCACCTACCACTACCAACTTCACAAATATATATAATAAGTAATTAAATAAGTAAATATATCCCATTTGTTATGCTATATCAAATATATTTAAGTTATTCTTGGCCGCCAAATAGCTGGAATATTGCTGAGTGCGGCGTAAAACTAAACTCACTCAGTTAGTCTAGCCTAAGTATATATGTGAAAAGCAGACACAGTAAAAGCTAGCTGTTTATTTTAAACTCACAACAGTATTAGTATGGATGTGAGAAATAGTGTTACCAATAGCTTGACCCTTGATTAATGACACCGTGTATATACGTAGATCAACTGAATATCTCTTATATACAGGAGGCACTATCAACTGAATATCTCTATATACAAGGAGGCACTATCGACTGAATATCTCCATATACAGGGAGGCACTATCAACTGAATATCTCTATATACAAGGAGGCACTATCAACTGGATATCTCTATATACAGGGAGGCACTATCAACTGGATATCTCCATATACAGGGAGGCACTATCGACTGAATATCTCCATATACAAGGAGGCACTGTCAACTGAATATCTCTATATACAGGGAGGCACTATCGACTGAATATCTCTATATACAGGGAGGCACTATCGACTGAATATCCTATATACAGGGAGGCACTATCGACTGAATATCTCCATATACAAGGAGGCACTGTCAACTGAATATCTCTATATACAGGGAGGCACTATCAACTGAATATCTCTATATACATGAGGCACTATCAACTGAATATCTCTATATACAGGGAGGCACTATCGACTGAATATCTCTATATACAAGGAGGCACTGTCAACTGAATATCTCTATATACAGGGAGGCACTATCAACTGAATATCTCTATATACAGGGAGGCACTATCGACTGAATATCTCCATATACAAGGAGGCACTATCAACTGAATATCTCTATATACAGGGAGGCACTATCAACTGGATATCTCTATATACATGAGGCACTATCAACTAAATATCTCTATATACAGGGAGGCACTATCAACTGAATATCTCTATATACAGGGAGGCACTATCGACTGAATATCTCCATATACAAGGAGGCACTGTCAACTGGATATCTCTATATACATGAGGCACTATCAACTGAATATCTCCATATACAAGGAGGCACTGTCAACTGAATATCTCTATATACAGGGAGGCACTATCACTGGATATCTCCATATACAAGGAGGCACTGTCAACTGAATATCTCTATATACAGGGAGGCACTATCAACTGGATATCTCTATATACATGAGGCACTATCAACTAAATATCTCTATATACAGGGAGGCACTATCAACTGAATACCTCTTTATACAGGGAGGCACTATCAACTGAATATCTCTATATACATGAGGCACTATCAACTAAATATCTCTATATACAGGGAGGCACTATCAACTGGATATCTCTATATACATGAGGCACTATCAACTAAATATCTCTATATACAGGGAGGCACTATCAACTGGATATATCCATATACAGGGAGGCACTATCGACTGAATATCTCCATATACAAGGAGGCACTGTCAACTGAATATCTCTATATACAGGGAGGCACTATCGACTGAATATCTCTATATACAGGGAGGCACTATCGACTGAATATCTCTATATACAGGGAGGCACTATCGACTGAATATCTCCATATACAAGGAGGCACTGTCAACTGAATATCTCTATATACAGGGAGGCACTATCAACTGAATATCTCTATATACATGAGGCACTATCAACTGAATATCTCTATATACAGGGAGGCACTATCGACTGAATATCTCTATATACAAGGAGGCACTGTCAACTGAATATCTCTATATACAGGGAGGCACTATCAACTGAATATCTCTATATACAGGGAGGAACTATCAACTGGATATCTCTATATATAAGGAGGCACTATCAACTGGATATCTCTATATACAAGGAGGCACTATCAACTGGATATCTCTATATATAAGGAGGAACTATCAACTGAATATCTCTATATATAAGGAGGCACTATCAACTGGATATCTCTATATATAAGGAAGCACTATCAACTGGATATCTCTATATACAAGGAGGCACTATCAACTGATATCTCTATATACAAGGAGGCACTATCAACTTGATATCTCTATATACAAGGAGGCACTATCAACTGGATATCTCTATATATAAGGAGGCACTATCAACTGGATATCTCTATATACAAGGAGGAACTATCAACTGGATATCTCTATATATAAGGAGGCACTATCAACTGGATATCTCTATATACAAGGAGGCACTATCAACTGGATATCTCTATATATAAGGAGGCACTATCAACTGGATATCTCTATATACAAGGAGGCACTATCAACTGATATCTCTATATACAAGGAGGCACTATCAACTGGTATCTCTATATACAAGGAGGCACTATCAACTGGATATCTCTATATATAAGGAGGAACTATCAACTGGATATCTAAATGTGAGCAGGGGCTGTCAACGAGATATATCTATAGGACTGTGTATCAGCTGGATATAAAGTGGAGTGCTACAACTAGGTATATCCACGTATAATGCTGTGCTATAACTGGGTATATGCACATACAGTAGTGTGCTACAACTGGGTATATCCACGTATAATGCTGTGCTATAACAGGGTATATGCACATACAGTAGTGTGCTACAACAGGGTATATCCACGTATAATGCTGTGCTATAACAGGGTATATGCACATACAGTAGTGTGCTACAACAGGGAATATCCACGTATAATGCTGTGCTATAACAGGGTATATGCACATACAGTAGTGTGCTACAACTGGGTATATCCACGTATAATGCTGTGCTATTACAGGGTATATGCACTTACAGTAGTGTGCTACAACAGGGTATATCCACGTATAATGCTGTGCTATAACAGGGTATATGCACATACAGTAGTGTGCTACAACAGGGTATATCCACGTATAATGCTGTGCTTTAACAGGGTATATGCACATACAGTAGTGTGCTACAACAGGGTATATCCACGTATAATGCTGTGCTATAACAGGGTATATGCACATACAGTAGTGTGCTACAACTGGGTATATCCACGTATAATGCTCTGCTATAACAGGGTATATGCACATACAGTAGTGTGCTATAACAGGGTATATCCACGTATAATGCTGTGCTATGACAGGGTATATGCACATACAGTAGTGTGCTACAACAGGGTATATCCACGTATAATGCTGTGCTATAACAGGGTATATGCACATACAGTAGTGTGCTACAACAGGGTATATCCACGTATAATGCTGTGCTATAACAGGGTATATGCACATACAGTAGTGTGCTACAACAGGGTATATCCACGTATAATGCTGTGCTATAACAGGGTATATGCACATACAGTAGTGTGCTACAACAGGGTATATCCACGTATAATGCTGTGCTATAACTGGGTATATGCACATACAGTAGTGTGCTACAACAGGGTATATCCACGTATAATGCTGTGCTATAACAGGGTATATGCACATACAGTAGTGTGCTACAACCAGGTATATCCACGTATAATGCTGCTGTGCTATTACAGGGGTATATGCACATACAGTAGTGTGCTACAACAGGGTATATCCACGTATAATGCTGTGCTATAACAGGGTATATGCACGTATACAGTATATGCACATACGTAGTGTGCTACAACAGGGTATATCCACGTATAATGCTGTGCTATAACAGGGGTATATGCACATACAGTAGTGTGCTACAACAGGGTATATCCACGTATAATGCTGTGCTATATAACAGGGTATATGCACATACGGTAGTGTGCTACAACAGGGTATATCCACGTATAATGCTGTGCTATAACAGGGTATATGCACATACAGTAGTGTGCTACAACAGGGTATATCCACGTATAATGCTGTGCTATAACAGGGTATATGCACATACAGTAGTGTGCTACAACAGGGTATATCCACGTATAATGCTGTGCTATAACAGGGTATATGCACATACGGTAGTGTGCTACAACAGGGTATATCCACGTATAATGCTGTGCTATAACAGGGTATATGCACATACAGTAGTGTGCTACAACAGGGTATATCCACGTATAATGCTGTGCTATAACAGGGTATATGCACATACAGTAGTGTGTTACAACTGGGTATATCCACGTATAATGCTATGCTATAACTGGGTATATGCACATACGGTAGTGTGCTACAACAGGGTATATCCACGTATACTGGTGTGCTACAACAGGGTATATGCACATACAGTAGTGTGCTACAACGGTATATCCACGTATAATGCTGTGCTATAACAGGGTATATCCACATATACTGGTGTGCTACAACTGGTATATGCACATACAGTAGTATGCTACAACTGGGCATATGCACATATACTGGTGTGCTACAACTGGGTATATCCACATATATTGGTGTGCTAAATGGCCAGAAATGCTTGGAAAATGCTTTTTTGGCAATTATTTGATAATGGTTGATATTTCAGATTCAAAACTCATATATAATCATTCATACCACCTCGACCTAATATGACATATGAGTAATCACGATGTACCATTCCCTAATCATAATGAGGACTCTAGCGGAATTACAACAGGTGCAACTCGGCTGACGTTAACGCCGTCTCGCAGACGGTATTCGTCCGCGATTTTGAGAACACGGTCTTCAGCCTTTCGCCACACCTCTGGGGGAAATTCTCGCAGAAGAAGCATACACAAGCTCTTTAACGTCTGAAAGCGCGAATGTTGTATTATCGCGAGCAATAAAATTCTTACAGTTACCTAGAGGTCTCTGAGTTACCCCAGATCAGCTCGATGGGATTGAGCTCACAGTGCCGTACTGCATGGTGTACGCAGAACTATGTGGCCTTGTTTTGCAGCTAGTTCGTCAGTGATGTACTGGATTGGCTTTTTGTGCTGCCGGATTTTTTCCATGAGCTGGGGCTTTGTTTCTGATTGCCTGTAAGGCACGTTACAGGAAGTGAGAAAGTCTTGCAACTGAGCCTTGAGATTGCTCATGTTGGGTGTGATGGTACCAGGGACATGCAGGTTATGGTAACTGGCGTTATCCAAAATGATAACGCTTGGTTCGTCCAGCTGCGGTAAAAGCTGATGTTCGAACCAATCCAAAAATACCTGCCCATTCATTTCGCTATAGTAATCACCATCAGATTTATCATCCAAAACTGTGTTCCACCGGAGATATCGCTTGTGTGAGATCAAACGATATCTCCTAGGAGATATCGTTTTGACAGTAGATTTTGTACAATGCCCTGACAATGCTATGATGTCATGTACTTGATGACATCACAATGATATGACATCACTGCACTGCAAGTCTAATGGCAGTACCATGTTCAGAGATGTACATTTTTCATTGAAAATTTATGAAGAGTGATTTTGGATGATAAATAGAATCTCACCCTCGTGTCTTCTGATATCAAATATATCAACACTCGTTGATAAAGTAAAAATATCCTCGGCAAGCCTCGGATATTTGTAACTTTATCAACTCGTGTTGATATAATTGATATCAGAAGACACTTGGGTGAGATTCTCTATGTATTGGCCTCAACAACAAAGTCACAACCCCCAATCATTCCGTAACCTACGATGGTTACACTGGTGCCTTAGAACAATCTGAAGGAAGCCACATCCGATCGGTTGACTGATTTTTATTACACCAGGTTTCATCAAGGTATATAATTTGAAACCCCAAATTGCGGTATTCTTCAACTGTTCTGAGATAAGCTGATCGCATGGACAGGATTGAGTACTTTTCTCTAAACACAGCTCTGTCATCTCCCCTTTTGGTGTACCTGAACCCCATTTCTACCAGAGCTACAAGTCTTGTTTTCGAGACATTTATTGTATCTTTGATCTCATCTTTTATTTTAGCACACGTCGGTGGGATTCTGCGTTCATATAGTTTATAAACTGCACGGCGTCTGACACCCTCATCAAAGCTATCCAGTTTGTGTTTCCTACCTGGTTTTGATTTTGACACGACCCCTGAGGTAACTGATTTGTTTACAACGTTGTAAACCTGACTATATGTCAAATTAAGGGCTTTACACATTCTATAGTAAACCCTGTCATAGCTGACGAGAGGTTTCCCCCTTTGTTTCTCCAGTATGAAATACTGGTATAAATTTGAAATTAATTGTTCTGCAGAGATATCAAGTCACATGTTGCCAGTTCAATGCTCATACACGAAGTGAATCTTCTAGGGGTGAACAAGATTATCTATGTGATTTGAATTAAGAATTTTTTACGTAATTATTTTGATTATAACTACTACAAGAGTTCCATCTTTTTCACATATAGATGTTCCACAAAACAAAACTGTTTACAATCATTTATGTAATTTAATTAGTTGAGGCTATATGAATAATTATAGTCTGTATTTCTAAACTACAGTTTGTACTTAGAATATTTACGAATGTTGTTAAAACGTCAAAATTTCCTCCTGTGAAGTCACCCCTCAAGTGCATTTTTTTCATCTGAGCTTTAATATCCAACTAGGTAGAGTCTCGTACATGTATCATATATGTGATTTTATCTTGTGTCAAATTCGTCATATTGATATTGAAGCCAAAAAGCATTTCCCAAGGATTTCTGGCCTTACTTTACAACTGTGTATATCCACATATAATGCTGTGCTACAACTGTGTATATCCACATATACTGGTGTGCTACAACTGGGTATATCCACATATACTGGTGTGCTACAACTGTGTATATCCACATATACTGGTGTTATAACTGGGTATATCCAGATACTGGTGTTATAACTGGGTATATCCACAGATACTGGTGTTATAACTGGGTATATCCACATATACTGGTGTGTTATAACTGTATAGCCACATATACTGGTGTGTTATAACTGGGTATATCCACAGACACTGGTGTTATAGCTGGGTATATCCACATATACTGGTGTGTTATAACTGGGTATATCCACAGATACTGGTGTGCTACAACTGGATATATCCACATATACTGGTGTGTTGTAACTGGGTATATCCACATATACTGGTGTGTTATAACTGTGTATATCCACATATAGAAGTGTGCTACAACTGGGTATATGGACATATACTGGAGCGCTACAACTGGTATATCCGAATATATATACAAGTGATGTGTAAGTTTGTATATTATTACCTACAAAAAGCATGAGCAAGTTGGGTTTAGAACTGCTGTTCTCAATGTACAAATACTACGACACTAACTGGATCATACAAACGACACAACACATTATGGCTTTTCCACGTTGTCTTTAATGAGAAAATATCATTAGTGCTATGTTATCTCACAAATAAAAGTTCAATAAATACAAAATGAAAGTAAAATTACCATCTTCACTACTCCCTGTGAATTATTGCTGACAATGCCCTGCATCATTTCCTGGTTGCTGGCGACGTGCATCCATCACCATTACGTTTCAAAATCATTTCATTGCTTTATTTGGCTTCTATTAACCATGACAACTGCATGCTGGGAACTACGCCTAGGTAAGATTCCACTTCAACCCAGTGCCTCCACACAGGAGGTCAGCCCACTGCACACGGGTCTGTTTTGTACCTCAACAGACACTACACTGCAGATAACTCACTCACACGCAACACGAGGACTCAATCTACCTTACAACCAGTAGCCCCACACCTCACAAAGGTGATATCATTCTTCCTAAGAGCCCTTCCCACACAGGTGATATCATTCCTCTGAACAAAGCCTGAAACACAGGTGAAATTATCCATCCTACCTACACTACCTTAACCTATTTCCTTCTCACCCTCACCTCACACAGGTGAATTCATTCATTCTTCCCTGTCACACATATTAGATGATTTTCTATCACTGGTCGGGGAGTTTGACCAGTGCACTTACAACAGTCGGCTCCCGACAAGCAGCATCAACATGGACGGAGAGTGGTGGCTATCAGGACAGCAAGCAGACATTGACACTCGAGACGCCAGCTGCCCTCATTATGCAAGTGTATTACCATAGCGGTCACTACTCCTGCAGCACAGACAGGTGACACAGGGGCGTTGCTACCTCCCCCGTACAGAAGGCCATCACTACCTCCCAGGTACAGAAGGCCATCACTACCTCCCCGTACAGAAGGCCATCACTACCTCCCAGGTACAGGAGGCCATCACTGGGGGTGGCAGTCTATAATAGATCACATTGACAGTCCATGAGAAGGTTACATCAGTCACTGTAGACTGTAGTCAAGGTGTGGTGTGCTTTCTTCCCAGTCGCCCGAAGATCCCAGACCTCACAACAGTGGGGGTGGAGGAGATCTCGGGTGGCTTCACAGGTGTGTCCTCTCCTGTCTTGGGGCCAGGCGAGACTTGATACCTGTAGCATGTAACATGGTATGAAGTACACAATGTCATTTAGAAAGTGGTCAAATGTAACATATGTTATATTTGGGATTACACTTTCTTTATAAAGTACAGATTCTAGTACTTTTGTTGGGTTGAGTCCCATCCGGGATTCGAACCCACACCCTCAGAGTCAGGCACCTAATCGCCAGCACACAAAGTCAGCCGCCTAGACCGCAACAAAAGTACTAGAATCTGTACTTTACAAAGACAGTGTAATCCCAAATATAACATATGTCACATGTAACATGGTGTATGAAAACAATCTGACTGGTCCATGGTTTATCTGCCTCCTCACTGGTTACAACATAGTCTGCATTGAGAGTATTTATCGGTTTCTAAGATAAACTACATATGGAATACTTGCATATATAAAAATAAAGCTGTCCAATGGCCCAGAAAGGGTTAGTTTGCCTTGTATTGCTCTAGGCATGCTTGTTGACTATGCTTGGCTTAGATAATGTTCTTACAAGCCCAATGTTATCGAGACCTCCGTGGTGTAGTGGTTAGAGCGTCCACCAGGAGAGCGGAAGGTTGCGGGTTCGATCTCCGGCTGCGTCATATCAAAAGACGTTAAAATATGGTACTTGTTGGTCCTTGCCTGGCGCTCGGCATTAATGGTACAAGGACTGGTCGGCTCGGAGTCAGTATAATGTGTCAGAGTGGGGTATTCATGCTTCACTGCGGCATGGTATCTCAGTGGGCTAGCACTATAAAACCAGCTGAAGTCTGGGCTAGTACAAGCAGCTGCACACACACATACACACGCATGCATGTCGTCATATGAGTGAAATATTCTCCAGCACGACGTTAAACCCAATTTTACCTCACCTCAATGTTATCTAAACCCACCAGTGGGCATCCATACCATGCATTCCGGTTTGCAGTCTAAGTAAACTTAGGCTCAGTATTATTCGTTACACTGCTATACTGAGTCTAACAAAACCTTGTAGAAGGTCACATCAGCTAACCTTTTGGACTGACCAATCAGAACACAGCTTACCAAATCGCGAAAGTTAACATTCGTGCATACCGTATGGACCATTTTGCAATACTGGCTGTCGGCATATGTCCATATTGACCAGCTGGGCTGAAAACGCATATCAGCCATATCATCCCTAGGGCCGAAAATCCATATCAGCCTTATTGCCCTGCTACTAAACTGGTATGGAATGAATACACGCAAACGCTCGAAAGTTCAATAGATGGAGGCTAGTTTGTTTTAGAGTTACATCACTTGATGTGGTACATGATAAAAAGGTTATGATATGACAGTTTCCTTTCGCCAGTCATATCAACCCTCGACTACCATATCAACCCTCAACTACCATATCAACCCTCGACTACCATATCAACCCTCGACTACCATATCAACCCTCGACTACCATATCAGCCCTCAACTACCATATCAACCCTCGACTACCATATCAACCCTCGACTACCATATCAACCCTCGACTACCATATCAGCCCTCGACTACCATATCAGCCCTCGACTACCATATCAACCCTCGACTACCATATCAACCCTCAACTACCATATCAGCCCTCAACTACCATATCAACCCTCGACTACCATATCAACCCTCAACTACCATATCAACCCTCGACTACCATATCAGCCCTCGACTACCATATCAACCCTCGACTACCATATCAGCCCTCGACTACCATATCAGCCCTCAACTACCATATCAGCCCTCAACTACCATATCAACCCTCAACTACCATATCAACCCTCGACTACCATATCAACCCTCCACTACCATATCAACCCTCGACTACCATATCAGCCCTCGACTACCATATCAACCCCATATGACTACCATATCAACCCTCGACTACCATATCAACCCTCGACTACCATATATATATATCAGCCCTCGACTACCATATCAGCCCTCTACCACCGTAGACTATCAGCCCCATATATATCAGACTACATATCAACCCTGGACTACCATATCAGCCCTCAACTACCATATCAACCCTCGACTACCATATCAACCCTCCACTACCATATCAACCCTCCACTACCATATCAACCCTGCACTACCATATCAGCCCTAGACTACCATATCAACCCTCGACCACCATATCAACCCTGGACCACCATATCAACCATCAACCACCATATCAACCCTCGACCACCATATCAACCCTCGACCACCATATCAACCATCAACTACCATATCAGCCCTCCACTACCATATCAGCCCTCCACTACCATATCAGCCCTCGACTACCATATCAACCCTCTACTACCATATCAACCCTCGACTACCATATCAACCCTCCACTACCATATCAGCCCTCCACTACCATATCAACCCTCGACTACCATATCAACCCTCGACTACCATATCAACCCTCCACTACCATATCAGCCCTAGACTACCATATCAACCCTTGACCACCATATCAACCCTGGACCACCATATCAACCATCAACCACCATATCAACCCTCGACCACCATATCAACCCTCGACCATCATATCAACCATCATCTACCATATCAGCCCTCGACTACCATATCAGCCCTCGACTACCATATCAACCCTCGACTACCATATCAACCCTCCACTACCATATCAACCCTCCACTACAATATCAGCCCTTGACCACCATATCAGCCCTCAACTACCATATCAACCCTCTACTACCATATCAGCCCCCAACTACCATATCAACCCTGGACTACCATATCAACCCTGGACTACCATATCAACTCTGGACTACCATATCATCCCTCGACTACAATATCAACCCTCGACCACCATATCAGACCTCTACCACCATATCAACCCTCGACCACCATATCAGCCCTCTACCACCATATCAGCCCTCGACTACCATATCAGCCCTCGACCAACATATCAACCCTCGACTACCATATCAGCCCTCTACCACCATATCAGCCCTCGACTACCATATCAACCCTCGACTACCATATCAGCCCTCGACTACCATATCAACCCTCAACTACCATATCAACCCTCGACAACCATATCAACTCCCCCGACTACTATATCAACCCTCGACTACCATATCAGCCCTTGACTACCATATCAACCCTCGACTTACTACCATATCGACTGCCTATATCAACCCTCGACCACCAATATCAACCCCTCGACCACCATATCGGCCCTCACCACCATATCAGCCCTCGACTACCATATCAGCCCTCGACTACCATATCAGCCCTATCGACCACTACATATCGGCCTCTCTACCACCATATCAGCCTCGACTCACCATATCGGCCCTCGACCACCATATCAGCCCTCGTACTACCAGTTATATGGACCCTTCAACTACCATATCAGCCCTCGACAACCATATCAACCCTCGATCTGCCATCAACTCCCTCGACTACCATATCAGCCCTTGACTACAATATCAACCCTCGACTACCATATCAGCCCTCGACTACCATAGCAACCCTCGACTACCATATCAGCCCTCGACTACCATATCAGCCCTCAACCACCATATCAACCCTCGACTACCAGTCATATGAACCTTCAACTACCATATCAACCCTCGACAACCATATCAACCCTCGACTACCATATCAACCCTTGACTACCATATCAGCCCTTGACTACCATATCAACCCTCGACTACCATATCAGCCCTCGACTACCATAGCAACCCTCGACTACCATATCAACCCTTAACTACCATATCAGCCCTCAACTACCATATCAACCCTAGACTACCATATCAGCCCTCCACTACCATATCAACCCTCAACTACCATATCAGCCCTCAACTACCATATCAGCCCTCCACTACCATATCAACCCTGGACTACCATATCAACCCTCCACTACCATATCAGCCATCGACTACCATATCAGCCCTCGACCACCATATCAACCCTCCACTACCATATCAGCCCTCCACTACAATATCAGCCCATGACCACCATATCAACCCTCGACCACCATATCAACCCTCTACTACCATATCAACCATCGACTACCATATCAACCATCGACTACCATATCAGCCCTAGACTACCATATCAACCCTCGACCACCATATCAACCCTCGACCACCATATCAACCCTCGACCACCATTTCAACCATCATCTACCATATCAGCCCTCGACTACCATATCAACCCTCCACTACCATATCAGCCCTCCACTACCATATCAACCCTCCACCACCATATCAACCCTCCACCACCATATCAACCCTCCACTACCATATCAACACTACCATATCAACCCTCCACTACCATATCAACCCTCCACTACCATATCAACCCTCCACTACCATATCAGCCCTCTTAGGACCAGACAATTCAGTGATTGATATTGAGAACAATGATTGTGCTGCTGGGGTGAGTGTGGCAGCCAGCATGTCACCAACTGGTTCAGTTTGTTAGGATCAGCCAGATCAACCTACAGCTGTCAAACAGACCTTATGATACTGATGTGTGGGTGAGATAATGAGTATGAATACCTCAGTGATGTATACTACACCAACACTGCAACCTGCCGGTCCTCACGTACCTTGGGACGTTATTCCACTGCTGCTGGTCACTTTGGCTTTCTGAGGGCCAAGTCGTACTGTCACTGATGGGGTTACGGCTGAGCTGGTCGATGATGATGCTGTTGTACTGCTTGCTGTTTCTGTTTGTACCTTCTTCCCAAGTCGCTGTTTAATAGACAGATTTTCCGCCACATAATCTCGCGACAGAATGCCTGCTGTTGCTGCTGATGCTGGTGATGTTGTCGTCACCTCAGATGTCTGGATTGCTGAGGACCAAGATGGAACATGAGAATGTTTAGCTACAATAAGCAATGTCACTAACATAAGCAGAATTATTACAACATTCCAGCATAACATTATCTATAATTCAACATCATATACATATACAAACTTCCTTAATACATATACAAAGCATTGTTCTCATAGCAAGTTGATTGCCAGGACTGTTATTTTAGTCCGTAATCCGTAATTTGAGAGAGTCCGGATTAGAAGGCAAGCTTTTATGATAAATTAAGAACAATTTTGCCGGTACTCAGAGTAGTCCTGATTATAAAGAAATACGGATTACAAAGAGTTCGGATTTGACAGATTCCACTGTAGTATAAATTTTTAATCACTCATAAAATATATGTTAAACAATGCCCAAAGTGAGGAGGGATCACTGATAACCCTGACCTAGAGTCCAACATCATCTGGAGAAAACTTTTGACCTGGGAGATATATTGACACCTTAACATTCCTACATGAAACAGCCTGTGTGTGATACACACTAAACCATATGAAGGCTGCCACTGATGAGAGTTTACAACTTCAACATGTCTTGGTTCAAAGTCTCAAAAATCAAAGGTGACTTCCATAACACACTACGAGATGAATCTGAAGGAGCCAAGAAAGATAACTCTGGGTTATCGAGGCACAGATTTCAACTGTCGGTCTACTCAGTACTGTCTCTTCGGTTTAGGTATGGAAGCTGTGTAGGGTGAGGTAAGGTAAAACTCCACTTATCGAAATCAAACTGAACCTCTACTACTGGAAAAGAATCCATGAAGTAGTTTTCAAGTTATAGGTTGCAAAAATGTTGAATTGAAAACAAGTCGAAGTTCAATACAAGAAAAAAGTCATACATTCTTTAGAAAATATACATATCAAAACTGATCTTTTTGACACTTGACCATCCTGCCACATGACATTGCGACACACCAGTCACTGTTACTGAAACAACCTTCGTAACCCATCCCTGACATACTCACTGATCTTCTTCCGGACAGCCAGTTTACGGGCTGCAGCTGTCAGGGATGCTGCCTTCTTAGACTGTGAAGTGACCTTGACCTTCTTAGGGGGGGACTTGAGCACTCCAGCGTATTCCAGGGCTGAGGCAGCAACTTCATCACTGTCATCCTCGTCTTCTCCCAATACTGAGGTTGAAGATGCTGGTCTCTTGACAGTTGATTTGTCTCCCAGACGATTAAAAACAGAACCCTGGAGGTCACCAGAACAATATTCTTCATAAGAGTGTGGAACGTCAACATTTCAGCCTGTAGTATTAGTGAAAACTCACAGCTAATGGAGAGCCTTGTCTACAGTCACTGACAATAGAACTATCATTGACTGGAAATTGTAATACTAATACATGTGTATATCAACTAAACAGTATCACAACATATCAACATAATGGTCCAGGATAAAATTACTACTTCTGAATGTGTAGATGTAAACATTACCAATGAAGACATGCTGTTAAATTTAACACTAAATATGGTGAGTGTGACATTTGTTTACGGTACAAATGACTTTTCTGCCATCTCATTTTCCTCCGTAACCATGGAAATGTATATAAAATCAAACATTTCTCTTAAGTCTGTATCAGTATCAAATGTTTGTATTAACATCAAGATGTTATCAACACAACAAACAATGATCACCTGTAAGAGGAGAGTTTGGGTAGTGATCACCAGGGGGAGGAGGGTTAGGGTAGTGATCAGCAGGGTAGGAGGGTCAGGATGGCGATCACCTGGGGGGTTAGGGTCAGGATAGTGATCTCACCCTAGGGGATGAGGGTTAGGGTAGTGATCACCAGGGTAGGAGGGTCAGGATGGTGAATCACCTGGGGGAGGAGGGTTAGGGTAGTGATCACCAGGGTAGGAGGGTCAGGATGGTGAATCACCTGGGGGAGGAGGGTTAGGGTAGTGATCACCAGGGTAGGAGGGTCAGGATGGTGAATCACCTGGGGGAGGAGGGTTAGGGTAGTGATCACCAGGGTAGGAGGGTCAGGACAGTGATCACTCTGGGGGAGGAGAGTTAAGGTAGTGATCACCAGGGTAGGAGGGTCAGGATGGTGAATCACCTGGGGGGTTAGGGTCAGGATAGTGATCTCACCCTAGGGGATGAGAGTTAGGGTAGTGATCACCAGGGTAGGAGGGTCAGGATGGTGATCACCTGGGGGGTTAGGGTCAGGATAGTGATCTCACCCTAGGGGATGAGAGTTAGGGTAGTGATCACCAGGGTAGGAGGGTCAGGATGGTGAATCACCTGGGGGAGGAGGGTTAGGGTAGTGATCACCAGGGTAGGAGGGTCAGGATGGTGAATCACCTGGGGGAGGAGGGTTAGGGTAGTGATCACCAGGGTAGGAGGGTCAGGATGGTGAATCACCTGGGGGAGGAGGGTTAGGGTAGTGATCACCAGGGTAGGAGGGTCAGGACAGTGATCACTCTGGGGGAGGAGAGTTAAGGTAGTGATCACCAGGGTAGGAGGGTCAGGATAGTTAGGGTAGTGAACACCTGTGGGAGGATAGTTAGGGTTATCTGGGAGGAGGTTAGGGTTGTGATCAGTAAGGTAGGAGGGTGCCGAGGTGTTAAACTCACAGATGGTGAGGTACTCCTGAGAACAACATTGCCCAGTCCTGTCACTGTGACTTGCTGCGGGGAGTCAACTCCAAGTCGCTCGAACACTGAGGACCTCTTTGACGAGGAATCTGTACATAGATGGAATTACATACAGGACAAAGTCACTTTCATCACAGCCACATCAAATTTATTAACGTTTTTCAGAAACTGATGACATCAATAATTGTAATGTACCATTTTCAATATGATATACACACATACAACTATTATCTCAGTACATATATTGGGTTTCGATTGTGGAGAACCTTTGGCTGACCTGACACTTCTGGTTTGGGAGTTGGTATCTGCTTCATGGGTGCAGCCTCAGGGTCTTTGCCCAAGTAGTGGCCCACCATTCTGCTGGCAGCTGAAACAAACACACAGACACTAGGGGTCAGGTACCCTTAAACACCAGGAACACAAACACACAGACACTAGGGGTCAGGTACCCTTAAACACCAGGAACACAAACACACAGACACTAGGGGTCAGGTACCCTTAAACACCAGGAACACAAACACACAGACACTTGGGGTCAGGTACCCTTAAACACCAGGAACACAAACACACAGACACTAGGGATCAGGTACCCTTAAACACCAGGAACACAAACACACAGACACTAGGGGTCAGGTACCCTTAAACACCAGGAACACAAACACACAGACACTAGGGGTCAGGTACCCTTAAACACCAGGAACACAAACACACAGACACTTGGGGTCAGGTACCCTTAAACACCAGGAACACAAACACACAGACACTTGGGGTCAGGTACCCTTAAACACCAGGAACACAAACACACAGACACTTGGGGTCAGGTACCCTTAAACACCAGGAACACAAACACACAGACACTAGGGGTCAGGTACCCTTAAACACCAGGAACACAAACACACAGACACTAGGGGTCAGGTACCCTTAAACACCAGGAACACAAACACACAGACACTAGGGGTCAGGTACCCTTAAACACCAGGAACACAAACACACAGACACTTGGGGTCAGGTACCCTTAAACACCAGGAACACAAACACACAGACACTAGGGATCAGGTACCCTTAAACACCAAGAACACAAACACACAGACACTAGGGGTCAGGTACCCTTAAACACCAGGAACACAAACACACAGACACTAGGGGTCAGGTACCCTTAAACACCAGGAACATAAACACACAGACACTAGGGGTCAGGTACCCTTAAACACCAGGAACACAAACACACTGAGTGACTGACACTAGGGATCAGGTACTTCAACAATATTAAATACAACATACAGGGGTTTTCCAAATCTATGTGTAAATATATATCATTCAGTCTTTACTTCTGCTGTTTTGCAGCCATCTTGCCAACTGTTACCATGGTTACCTGTAGATCTGCGGGCCTGAGATGGACTGTTGTTGGAAGTACTATTATTAGCAGCTGGACTTGCATTCTTCAGGACCTTATCACGGGCATCCTACAAACAACAACTGACAATGTTCAAGAAAACAATAATTGCGATTTGTTCTTCCCTGAGAGAGTGAGATGGTTTTTACACTGCTTTTGCAATATCAAGGCGGGGAACACCAAAATTGGGCTCCATACATTGTACCCATGAGGAGAATCGAAAGAGGGTCTTTGGTATGACGAGCAAACACTTTAACCTCTTAGCTAGCGCCCCCTCTGTAAAAGACATTTTCACAGTTGACAGTAAATAAGTAAAGGGTAACTTAATGTTGTTAAAATAGCAAGGATTATCATGAACAGGCTTTGATCAAAGAATTTAATAAATTAAAGGATTTGAAAATGTTTTCAGGTGTAACACTCTATGATAATACCATTCTATCATAACATTTCCTTCTCCCTATTGTACTGAAATAGTTAAATTTGTGTTTCATGCTTTCCTTGGGAGCGATGGTTCTACCTGTGTGTGGACAGCCTTGGCATGTTTTAGGATAGCAATGACATCTCCAAGGCGACTGATGCCCATGTCCAGCAGATATTCCTTGGAAAGGTCAAGGAGCATGTCCCTCTGAATGCGATTATCATTGAATGCAACTGCATAGTTCGCAGAGTCTCCTGGAGGGACACCAGCATCAGTGAAAAACTTGATCCAGTAGGAGGTGCTATTTTCTGTAAGAGAGAAAATACAAACTATTAGAAATGTGTATTATAATATTTATGTATGGCTAAACAATAGATACTTTCATCAGCATTGCACTTGCAGCAGACTTCCAACGACACAACCATGAAACAAGTTACATCTTAAACAGCCCATGGAATTAGTATGTTCTCTGATCAAATAATCTTGTGATGACATCACACTGGGGGAATATTTACAGCCAGGCTCCTCCTCAAATCAGAAGGAAAGCATGTTGAAATTTGAAATTTGTTATTGTGAAATACATCAGTGTATCATATTAAATAAAGGTCTTTCACCACTTACACTCTTTTGTAATTTTAGGACCACCAGTGGAAGTATTGGTTTTATTAACTACTATCCAGGGTGCTGTTGTACAAAGCGATCTTAGCGCTAAGGTTACCGTAACTCCCATTCATTAACGTAGACTTATGGTAGCCTTAGCACTAAGGTTGTTTTGTACAACGGCACCCTGAAACATTATTTCCTAAGCTCCTGACAACAAATGAATAGTCTCACATAAGGAAGGTTATCGGTTGCTGGATTATATTCTATCAAGAATGTGGAATGGGATACGGACGTTACAAGAATGTGTAATGGGATACGGACGTTACAAGAATGCCGAATGTGTAATGGGATACGGACGTTACATGAATGTGTAATGGGATACGGACGTTACATGAATGTGTAATGGGATACGGACGTTACACTGACTGACTGACTGAGTTTGGTTTTACGCCGCTTTTAGCAATATTCCAGCAACATCACGGCAGGGGACACCAGAAATGGGCTTCACACACTGTACCCATGTGGGGATTCGAACCCGGGTCTTCGGCGTGACAAGCCAACGCTTTAACCACTAGGCTACCCCACCGCCCCCCGGACGTTACAAGAATGTGTAATGGGATACGGACGTTAAATTCGAAAATTGAAGTTGTTCGTCAGGTGGGTACTGTATGAAACGTGATACTGATATGATAAACTTTGGATAACCTTCTTGTTGATAGCATCATAACCATGACAACAACCAAGGCAATGGGATATTTGGAAATCATGTTAAAATGATACACATAAATATATTCCGATACAATCTACCCGCACCTAGGAATAATCAAAGTGTATATGGGAGAGGGAAAGGCATACATGATTAAAGATTAGGTACATTTGTTTACTGATTATCGTCGTTCTTGTTCAAGTTGTAAAACTTGCCGACCAAAAAGAAGGCTTTTAGTTAACTTTAATATTACTGATAGCAGCACCATATGTATAAAGGGTGTATGGCCGGGCATATGTTTAAAAAACAACTTATCCCCAAAATATAACGTTTATCCTACATGTTCAAACAAACGTGTCAAAATCAATACACAGCGTACCAGTTGACGAAGACATGGACGACGCCATCTTTCTTGAATGTTGGTATTTACCTCCCGTTACAGTGGCGATGGTGTTCGCATCGAGGTCCCCAAACGAACAAGGACTGTACTTCAAAATGGAAGACCTTTTCAGCATCGGCATCCTGTAAAAGCAGAAGTGTGTTTCACACTCAAATGAAATTAAACATGTCTGGCGTCCTAAATTGGTGATATGTGTTTTTCGCTAAACCACCGGCACACTGTAACGTAGATCGGACACAAACATGGCTCCCAGCTGGATCGTTACGGCAACATGTACTCCTGCTGGGTTACACATACTACACGGGGATCAAGGGATGATGGTGCTTAACGTTGTATATAATGCCAGTCCTCGAAGACCAACAACATTACATTCGTTTATTTGAAATACACCTGTGTATTGTCAAGCACAAATGTTGCAGACAATCTGAATCCGAGTTGTTTCCACCACAACATGGCTTTTAAAAGCAGACGTATATTGGTTATTGGTGATGAATTTGTTCGCAAATATAAAATAAAATATCTATATTATACAAAGAAATTATGTTCACAAACAATATTTTACCTTCCGCCTCTTTAGTAATGCAGACCCGTGAAGATCCGGGGTAGAATAGGTCTTCAGCAACCCATGTGCTTGCCATAACAAGGCGACTATCTTGTCGTAAGAGGCGACTAACGGGATCGGGTGGTCAGTTTCGCTGACTTGGTTGACAAATGTCATCGGTTCCCAATTGCGCAGATCGATGCTCATGCTGTTGATCACTGGATTGTCTGGTCCAGACTCGATTATTTACAGACCGCCGCCATATAGCTGGAATATTGCTGAGTGCGGCGTAAAACTAAACTCACTCACTCACTCACTTTAGTAATGCAAGAGTCCAAGGGGTACATTTCCTATTGTTCTGAATCTAAAACAACCCCACGTTTACAGGGGCTACTTTTCACGTAAAATGAAGTTGCCCGTTTCAATCAACGTTTTTATTATAGAATTTAAGCGTTAGACTAATTTGTGATGCTCCGCGTTACCAAGTTTTGCAATAACAATATGTAAGACGTCATCATTATACATCTTAAACGACGTCCGCCCGGAGAGCGAAAGGTCGCGGGTTCGATCCCCGACCGCAACATACCAAAAGACGTTAAAATATGGTACTAGTTGGTCCCTGCCTGGCGCTCGGCATTAATGAGTACAACAAGGACTGGTCGGCTCGGAGTCAGTATAATGTGTCTGAGTGGGGTATTCATGCTTCACTGCGGCATGGTATCTCAGTGGGCTAGCACTATAAAACCAGCTTAAGTCTGGGCTAGTACAAGCAGCCGCACATACACATACACACGCATGCACGTCGTCATATGAGCGAAATATTCTCCAGCACGACGTTAAACCCAATTTCACCTCACCTCACCTCACCACATCTTAAACGACAGGAGAATCTTCATCCACGGTGAATGTACGCTCCTATTGTTTCGGACTGGCGTCATCACCCACGAAGTTCCCCGGCCAGTACCACTGGTTGGTGAGTGAGTTTAGTTTTACGCCGCACTCAGCAATATTCCAGCTATAAGGCGGCGTCTGTAAATAATCGAGTCTTGACCAGACATTCCAGTAATCAATAGCATGAGCATCGATCTGCACAATTGGGAACCGATGACATGTGTCAACCAAGCCAGCGAGCCTGACCGCGCGATCCCGTTAGTCGCCTCTTACAAGCATGGGTTACCGGAGGCTCATTCTAACCCGGACCTTCACAGGTACCACTGGTGGGACTTGACCAACTTCATTGCAAATAGAAATCGGGCCTTGAAAAGACTCTAGATCTAGTATCTGTTATGTATATGTACTACACCTTAAATACTGACAACTGGCGTGAAATAATCGTCACTTACTAACCGCGCTGCACATTAACTTAACAAATCGCACATGGATCTGATTAACTGGCTGCTAGTACTTCTGTTACTTGATATCGCGCGGGTGCATGTGCATGTGCATGCGCGTGTGTGTGTGTGTGTGTGCGTGTGTGACGCGCGGTAGAGTTATCTGTCGTATTAATATCGTTAATATAATATCATATACGGGTATCTGCTGAATCTCAGAGAGTCTGGTGTTCAACTAGCAATTCTACATACTATACACTTTACTTTCTTCAACGGTGTTCTCCCCAAATTAGTAAAGACGAAGGGCAGAATGAAGTGTCGATATTGACGGGTTTGTAAATAAGCATGGAACTAAAAAAATAGCATGGGTTGTCTGTGAAGTAGAGGCGACATTGGACAGGAAGCGTCCATAAAATATCACAATCCCACTGGCTGAGAGTAGTTAGGACCTCGGAATTGTGTTGAATTCAACCTCGGTATCCTCTGTACTGGCTGATGGTTAAGTGTGGCGAATTTCTATTCTAATTTCACAGTTTAAATAGAAGTTACTGTGTTCACAAACAAAGGAACAGATACAGACTGAAGAGTTCTGTCTGTGTTCACAGTCTGGACCCCTGCCGGTGTGTTGCTGTTCCCGTGATGTCAGCTGGCATCCCAGGTGTTCACGTAGCTAAGGCATGGAACGGAATTTTCCAGATGTTGAATCATTTAATTAAGGTAACTTGATAAGAATTGTTATGCCCTGAAGACACTACACACATCCTGGGTCAATGCCTACACCGATTGTTATGCACTAAAGATACTACACACATCCTGGGTCAATGCCTACACTAATTGTTATGCGCTGAAGACACTACACACATCCTGGGTCAATGCCTACACTAATTGTTATGCGCTGAAGACACTAGACACATCCTGGGTCAATGCCTACACTGATTGTTATGCCCTGAAGACACTACACATTCTGGGTCAATGCCTACACTAATTGTTATGCTCTGAAGACACTACACACATCCTGGGTCAATGCCTACACTAATTGTTATGCGCTGAAGACACTAGACACATCCTGGGTCAATGCCTACACAGATTGTTATGCTCTGAAGACACTACACACATCCTGGGTCAATGCCTACACAGATTGTTATGCCCTGAAGACACTACACACATCCTGGGTCAATGCCTTCACTGATTGTTATGCTCTGAAGACACTGGACAGATTGCTGTGTCCTGAAGTACACATTCAGGACTTGTAACTCAGTAGTAGGTTGCCTTGTTTGTATTCTGACAGACTATGAGTTTACAATAGCACTTTTATTGACATTTGCATCTGTAATAAATGACATACTTTAATGTGTTGTTTCAGCAGGATGCGTATCACAAATACATGCACAAAAAATCACTTTGATTACTGCAACAAGCATCATTATGAAATCTGCACATTTTCTTTTAATTCATGATATAAAAATTCCGATCTTTTATGTATATAAATAAGTAAAATCTACAGTTTTAAAAACAAATTTCAAAAATACATGTTAAGAAGTGAAAAAGTTTCTTAAGGCAACATCATTCCTGGCTTGTCCTTACATCCCTTCACCATCATAGGTCACTTAGGGCAACATCATTCCTGGCTTGTCCTTACATCCTTTCACCAGCATAGGTCACCTAAGACAACATCATTCCTGGCTTGTCCTTATAACCCTTCACCATCACAGGGGCTTGGAACCAGATCATGTCTGGCTCAAGTGAAGAGGAAACAACAGTCTCGGAAGGCCTACATGTATCCATCTGACTATCTCCAGTATACAAGGCAGTGGCTGGGTAAGATGCACTAAGACAGCTCTTCAAAACACAGTCATTCATGTCAACGTCAGACAGCACTGATGAGTCCAGAGGCTCAATTCCTGATATCTCAATTTCACTCACATCACATGACAGGTCATGTGACCCCACATTATGGTGTCTACATTTCATGTTGTACTCAAACTGTCGACCGCGGACAGGACGCTTGAATATGGGCTTGGGCACAAACCACTGTATGCCGCTATCTCTGGGTGCATACAGCAGTACAGAGATGTGTGTTGGTGAGATGGGTTTCACTCCCCCCAACAAGTCGTGGGTAATGAGCTGGCGGAACAGAGACTTGACACTGGACTTGAGGGACACTAAGTCTGCCTCTGGGGACAGAGGAGGGAGGTTGATGAGAAACGACTCCCTGGGACTGATGACTGTGCCACCCATGGTGATGAGCACCTGTTTAACTTCAGGGCACGTGATAAAAGCAGCCTCGACCTGGTCCATCACTTCCATCACACAGGAAATCAGTCTTGTCCTCTTCTTTTCCTCCATGCTGCCATAGAAACATTTCCTCTTCTGCCTCACAGTAGTCAAGACAGTCTGCAACGAAAACCAACATCCTACAATGAGACACATAACTCATAGCTAAAACAGATGTTGAAAAAATAAATCACTACAATCTTAATGGAAAAACAATATTAACATTAAATATATGTTGACATTTAACTTGTGGTAGAGGTGATGATGAGTTCCTATTACAGTGACATTTACTTGTCTCAACAAAACACTGATGTAAGGAAATCTCCATCGCTAAGAGTGGTCATCCTGCAACACCTGGTGGTAACAAAGCGGTCTTGATATGATATTTACTACACAGATGCAGCTTTCAGAGCACAATCAGCCAGATACATGACTCCACTTAGTGAGTAAGTATGACTTTACGTAATTTTCAGCAATATTCCAGCAATATCACGGCAAGGGAAACCAGAAATGGGCTTCACACATTGTACCCATGACAGGAATCAAACCCGGGTCTTCTGCATGGCAAGCGATCACTTTAACCACTGGGCTACCATACTACATAACTCTAAAGGCATACATCCAGTCACATGCTTTAGACGGAAACAAAACTCCAACTTTGTCAAGTTTGAAAGTGTCAAATCTAAACATGGATTGGTTGTTTCTTTTTGGGGAATACAAATTTGCATATTATGGAGCTGAATTTCTACAGGTTTTTGATGTGTTCAGATCTGTTCTCACTGTGCTGCACGAACCAACACATATTGGAGGATGGATGAATGAGAAGTTGTCCTATAACAACGGATATGTACAATAAGAAGTAACAGTCAAACTGACACATGTTTTTGTTGTTGATTAATGCATACAAGAGTGAAAGCATGAAGATATTGGTGAACACCAGTATTATGCAATAGTAAAAAGTACACAGTATCCCTTCAGACACTTCAGATAAACGAACAGCTGATAACAAATGTGGTCAATATAATGGGAAATCTGAGATAAATATATCACAAGACATGATGATTTACAAATTTGTATTTTCTGTTTGAAATGAAAATACATACTGTATGTCCTCATGAACAAAGCCATAAAGCATCTGTAGTGTCCATGCCCTTCAGCCTAATTAAAATAGCGCCGACTGGACACTAAAATTTGGGGAAATTTGGGAGTTATGTTTCCCTGAGACTTGCACAAGTCTCTAAGGTATTAATAATTAATAGCTAAATGGGATTACTATACATCCCTAGGCTCAGCATCCAGTACAACCTTTGATCAAGGCTATGTTCCCTTTAAGCTGTGGGATTTTATAGATTCAGCAAATAGCATTACCGTTTCCTCGATACTGGAAGTGGTGGTCTTCGACTTGGCAAGTGCTTCTTTTTTCAAATGATCGAATGGCATTGGTATCTGTTGCCTTTCGTACATAAAATACTTTAAAAGTTCATTAGCAATAACAGCCCTGACATTTGAATGTACGCCGGCATCAAACATGATATCACAAGATTTAATTTGATCTTCGCTCTTTTTCCTGTTTACAATGCCCGCCATGATGGCCTCAAATGTCACTGGTATTTGGTCTATTTTTACGTCATAATGTTTAACCAAGATATGCGTCGCGCAACGAATACGTTTTGACAGTTTAGAATATAGATCCTGTACAAGGGGAGATTATCCTGAAATCAGCATAAACGAAGACCGCTTAAAACATTTCGAGCCTTTTACGTTTGCTTCCTGCACTACCATCTGGTTTAAACATATATATATTTTATTCAATTCAAGAAGAAAGAAAAGGATTGGCAAACAAGCCTAAATGGCTTATTTTAATGCCGCTCCACAATACATGTGAAGGTTCACATTTGTGCATAATGTTGTACATATTGATAATGGTTATATCAAGTTATCTCTGAATAATAACAATCATGGATATCAACAATTTATCTTGGTTTTGTTTCATGGCCAGTTGATACAAATAGAAAAATAAGAGAAGCTACACATTTTTTTATGAATCAGATCGTTTTGATGTAATAATGAATTGATGGACTGACCGTAGAATATCCATATTCGTCTGATGAGATACTGAGTTATTGCCATTTAGCACATCCCGCAGGGAGAAACCTTTCACATAGAAATATGATTCGTATCGAATGGTATTATATTTAGGACACATGAAAAAATAGTCGAATACATCCTCACAATCTTGTGAGCAGGAACAAGAAGCATTATCAGAAATGAAAGGATTATACTTATCACTGTTTAAGTCACTGCATCCCAATCTAAGGCGGCAGTGTATTATTTGACAAAATCGACTACCAAAATTTAGATCGAACATTGTGTTGGTATTAACTTGTGGTGTGATAAGATTCTTAAACTGTCCAACAGAGGAAGCGTTTGTAGCATTTGTAGGTAGGCCATTCCACAGTTTAATTGTATCGGGCAAAAACGATTTGGCATAATCAGTAGATTTGCATCTTATAGTCTGATAATTTTCATTATTCCTAAGATTGTAGTTACTGTTATCAGAAACATTCCCTGGAGCAAGATCACAAAGATCGTCAGGAACCATATGGTTTACCATTTGTAAAATAATGTTAATTTAGAAGTTTCTCTCCGTTTCGCTAAGGAAGTCAGGTTTGTCTCATAACATAGTTTCGCATGGCTCGTACCTTTAACTGCACCGCATATTGTGCGTAAGGCATCTAAGTACCATCTCACAGATAAAGCTTCGTCTCTAAAAATATATACTCTTAATGGAAACAAATTTCTCCATCTCAACTGAAAATCATACAGCATTAAATAAGAAAACCTTTGTATTGTTAATTATGATAAATCAAAAGCCAGCCAGCCAGACAGACAGTCACGACAGACAGTATATTTCAGTAAAAGGACTTCGGCCAAAAATACAAACTTTATCACAAGTATTGACACAATGCGCATTTACATTTTGTTTTAGATAGATACACATCTCTTATTACATCACTGTTATTACTATAATTGATCGCAGCCAAAGCGTATTCATGAATTGGGAAATATCCAAACCAAGATTCCAGGAGGCGAGCGTACCATTTGGGCCGTGCTTGGTCCTTTACTCTCTTTGTTGTTTATGTAAATGATATTGCTGAAAACAAGACGTTTTGTTGACAATACATCGACTGGCATGCCATCCAATCATAACAGCTATTCTTAACTGAGTGGGAAAAACGCTGCTAACTTACAATTCCGAAAAGACTAAATCTGCTCTATTCATTCGCGAAAAAAACCCACTGGAGATAAACATTTATATTTCGACGGAAAAGAAACCAGATCTGTTCATAGACATATGCACTTTAAACCAGTGGTTTTGTCATATAGATACTATAATAATAATAATAATAATGATATACCTAATGAGTAAACAAACACCTACTTCACAGAGAAACTCTTAAAATATATATTGAGTCTTTGAAGGGCATTTAGAAGTGATACACATAAAGAAGACAAGAGTTTGTTTATGGATGACAACTTCTTTATTGTGAAGGGTCACGACGTTTTGAAGTATATTCTTACTCCTGCACATCCAGTCTCTAGAATCATCAACAGGACCCTCAAAACATCCAAACCTAAACCCAAAGCTGCCACATCACCCATCAGGATCACTATTCCCTACCTAGGCCCTGTCAGCCACCAGGTCTCCCGACTAGTAAAGAACACGGCAAATATTGATGTCACCTTCTCCAGCAACAAGACCATCAAAACCCTCCTGCACGCCAATGGCAGAGGCACCAGCAGCTCAACACCCAACCCCAGAGGATGTGTATATCAAATTATCTGCAATTGTGGTGACACATACATCGGCGAAACCCTCATGCCTCGGAACACCAGACTCATAGTTAACATCAAGCATCCGTCAACAAACTCGACCTCAAATCTGCTGTTTCTGAACACATCAACAAGAACCAGGACCACGCCATCGTATGGGAAGGCACCAAAGCCCTATCTGTCAACAACAACAACCGGCGGCAAAGAAAATTACAAGAGGCCATAGACAGCAGAAGAAGCCAACCAGCAATCAGTCGTGACCAGGGAACATATCTTCCTAGCGCTTGGGACTTATTAATTTAATTGACCATCACTGCTGGTCTCTTTGTCCTTGTATTTATCACTATTAGGCCTGGCTTCCATTTGTGATCTCAACACCCTGTTATATGCCACTATTGTTACCTCATCAACTACGCCTGGATTAACAATCCCTGGCTTCCGTTTGTCCATCCACCCAGTTAGTGCTAATTATACCCCCCCTGGCTTCTATTTGTCTTTCTTATCAATCATGCCTGGATTAACAATCCCTGGCTTCCACTTGTCCATCCACCAATTAACTACTGGTTTCCTTTGTTGCACTGTTGTTGTTTCAACATGTACATATATAGATGTTTGTTCCTAACTGTTTCATTCACCTGATGAAGGAGTAAGAACATACTTCGAAGCGTCGTGACTCTTCACAATAAAGAAGTTGTCATCCATAAAAAACCCTTGTCTTTAAAATATATATTGTTTCGAGATCACAGGTCGAATAATCAAGTGAAGGACAAAAGGAGACATTTAAAGAGTTACAATTAAAAGCTGCACGAATTGTAACTGGTCTACTGCCTTAAGGTATTAATAATATTACAACATCGGGTGGGAAGGTTTAGTAGAGAGAAGTAAGAAATGTTAAATTTGTCTTTTCTTCGAACTTCTGTTAAGGCACCGTAGTATCTAATAGATATATACTCTCCCAAAAAAGAAACGCATCATGAGAATAGCAATTTCATGTAGCAATGAATTAAGACGTGATTCATTTTACAAAAGGTTTTGCTCTGTTTATGAGTCCTATGGTGTTTATGTTTTGAAACATCACAACAAAAGGCACCATCCGTAAAATACCCGTATTTAAAAGCATGATTTTCAGTTTCGGCGTGTAGTGTCACAGAATACACAATTCACATGCAATGCACGTGAAAGTTGGGGATCAGATAGTCTCAATGATGGGTATAAAAGGTTGATCGCTGTCTGTCGATTATTCACTGTATTTGGAATATTGTTGACGAACGCAAAATGCCACGTCTAAGTGAAGCCAACCGTCATATCGCCATTGGTTTGCTTGCAGCTGGCCAGTCTCAACGTGCAGTTCCCCGACGCATGAATGTTCACCAAAGCACCATTTCACGGCTCTGGGAGAGATATCGCCGGCAGAATGCAGTAGCAGATGCCCCTCGTAGTGGGCGACCTCGAGCGACCACTGCGGCGCAGGATCGCTACATCCGGGTACATCACCTGCGTCATCGAACAGCTACGGCGACCAGTACCGCTCGACAAATACCCGGATTGAGGAGGCTTTCTGCACAGACCGTCAGGAACAGGTTGAGAGAGGCTGGTTACGTGCCAGAAGACCTTATTTTGGCCCTGTGCTTCGACAACAAAATCGTCGACATCGAGTTCAATGGTGCACCAACGTTCAGGCCTGGAACCTACCGAATTAGCGTAGAATCTGGTTCAGTGATGAATCACGATTTCTATTGGAACGACGCGCTGGAAGAATGCGGGTGTACAGACGTCGACGTGAACGTTTCGCCGACGCTTGCGTTCCCCAGGTGGCCAGATTCGGCCGGGGAAGCGTTATGATGTGGGGGAAAATCACCTGCCGTAGGCGAAGTGATTTGGTGATGATCCAGGGCAACTTGACAGCTCAACGGTACTGTGACGAAATCCTACGCCCAAACCTCCTTCCAATCATTGATCGCCAGAGGGAGTTGTTTCAACAGGACAATGCCAGGCTCCACACAGCACGTCACACTAGAGGCTTCTTAGAGAACCACAACATCAATGTGCTCCCCTGGCCCTCAAGATCACCGGACGTAAACCCGATCGAACATCTGTGGGATGCCCTGGACAGACGGGTGCGACGCCGTAACCCTCAGCCACAGACACTTCAGCAACTCGCACAGGCACTACAGGCAGAGTGGGCTGCGATTGGGCAACACGAGATTCTGAGCCTTATTCGTTCGATGCCGTGCAGTTCTGGATGCCCACGGTGGTCACACGAGGTATTGACTTCAGCGCCACCACACGTCTCCATGTGACACTCAAACTGACTTTCCTCGAGTTGGTGCCAAAGACGGATAGGTCTGCATTCCCAGTGTGCAATTTCGCTATATTTCATGGACTCATAAAGCCTACCAGATGTTTCAAAATAAACATAAAAATACAGTTGAAATTCCTATATGCGTTCCTTTTTGGGAGAGTATATATTGTGAAACTTTGTTCCGTCATCAGAACAAAATTCTACGATTTCTTATTTACAAAGGTTCCGCCCTACCTCACCTGCGTACTTCACATATGGGAAATATAATATCTCGCACTGAGATCAAACTGAGATGCATGTGGAGTCAATTGAGTTTAGATAGAAATATTCAAATAAATGTGAAAATGCATATCATTACACCCTGGAATGTCCATTGGTGACGACGCGAGGGCATATGGCGAGGTTACTCGTACTGAAATCAAACCGCCAATGACTTCACCGACGCTGACGTTAGCGCAGCAGACCCCGGGGACCAGGCTGCCAATGACTTCATCAACGA